TTGCAAAAGCGGTTTTTGCGCAGCCGCCACCGCTTCCGGAATAAACTGTGGGGAAGGGAGTGTATGCACTTCTGCTTTGGCGCATGGGCCCACAACCGCCATGCTGCGGAAAACCGAGAACGGCGCTTTCTTAGGCTGTTGGCACGACAGGTTATCAATGAAACCTTGTACGAGTGCAGGCTTCGTCATGTGAGCCGACAGGTTAAGGCCGCTTCCCGGTGCGACGAGGCTTGCTTTACCAAACGCATCTTCGCCGAAGCTGCAGCGGAGGGACCCGCCCGCAAAGCGCAGCTCATCCGAGCCGTACTTAAAACTGGGCGGCGCTACAAGTCAGCAAGAACCGCAATTGTCCTCCGTGAGGGAGGACAGGACCTGGTGGACCAGGCCGAGGTGCTCCAAAGGCTCGGTGCACACTTTGCAGCTGCTGAGCAGGCCACTCCTCTCCCACTCTGCGCTTTGTCCACCTCCACTGGGCCACCGGAACGGCAGCAATTTCTGGAGGCACAGGAGCTGCCGACTATCGCTGATCTTGCCAGGGGATTTGCTGGACTCAAGCCTAGAAAAGCTGCGGGCATCAGCGGCATCAGTGCTGACTTCTACAAGGCATCACCAGCACGAGCGGCTCAGCACCACTTCCCTGTGGTGCTAAAAATGGCGGCAAGGGGTCAGGCCCCGCTTCTGTGGACTGGTTCTCTCTCGGTCCCTATAGCCAAGCCGGCCAAAGATCGCTTCTCTGTGACGGGCTATAGGGCGATCGCGCTCCTCGAGGCCTCGGCCAAAGCGGTTGGAAGAGCGCTGCGGCCCCGGCTGCTCCAGGGACTGGAACGAGTTGTACATCCCGGCACTGCTGGAGCCAGGAGAGGTTTTCCATTGGAACTGCCCGCTGTCACCAGTCAGCTGTTTCTGGACTTTCTGAAGAATACCAGAACCAACGGGGCGCTGTTATTCGTCGATGGGGTGAGTGCCTTCTACGCGACAAGCAGAGTCGCTCTTGGGACCGGTACTGCCGCAGAACGGTCAGCTTGGATAGCAGGCCTCCCAATCGAGCCGGCCATCAAGGAGATCTACCTCTCCATTGTTCAGGGCCGTTCATGCCTTGAGCATGCTCAAATCGAGGAGATGACGCAGCGCATGATCACAGCGGGCTTCCGCTCTACTTGGTTCTCCACGCTGCCGGAGACCCCCCTGGTCTTCTGCACCCAAGCTGGAACCATACCGGGGGCGCCGCTAGCCGACCTCCTCTTTCAGCTCACCATTGCCCCGGCTTTTGAGAGTCTACAACGAAGCCTCCACAAAGAAGGCCTGGCAGCACACGTTGGAGAAGCAGAGCCTCATTTGTTGACTTGGTTGGATGACTTTGCGGTTCCGGTGACAGCGGAGAATTCTGCAGACCTCGCCAACCGCGCTGCCCGCACGGCGTCCCTGACAGCTCAGGCTCTGGCCCTAGCAGGTATCGAGATGAACTTCGGGGCCGGCAAATCCGAGGCCATCCTCCAATTGCACGGGCCAGGGGCACAGGCAGCCAAGGCCGAGGTCTTCATAAGCAGGCAGGGTCAAATACCAGTTCACCTGCCCGCTGGACGTGCAGAAAGCCTGGTATGCACCGAGAAGTACGTTCATCTCGGCAGTCTTCGCGGACCCGCCTGCAGCGCTGTTCCAGACATCCAGCGCCGCAAAATCACAGCGGCCTCAGTATGCGGCCATGTTTGCAAGCGCTTGCTGCGAAACAAGGAGCTGACCTTGGATGAGAGAAGAAACTTCATCTTCTCCCTAGTGGTGGGGCGCTTCATGCATGGAATGGGCTTGCAGCTGGGCAGGTACCAGTCACCAGTTTTGTTGGGCCGCTTCCGTGGTGGTCGACCTTGAGGCCACCACCAACAGCAGCGGTTCCAAGCCCGACTCCCCATCCAGTCACTCCTGTCAATGAAGCCTACCAGGCGCTCTCCACTCTTGCCGATGTTCCAGCTTTCTTGAAGCTAGTGGCAGTTGCTGATAGGACAGAGGTTGAGTCTTTTGTTCAGGACTGGAGCAGAGCTCAGTCACCTGATAGCCCTAGGGTGCAGACTTTTGCGCTCAAATGGGCGCAGGCTTTTCTCAGCGAAGATCAGCCCAAAATTTTTGTAGCCGCTGATTTTATGTTCGTGCAGAGGCGGGGTACAGCAATGCTCGCGGAGTCCAGCATCTTTACCGCCTTACTGCCGGCATTAATCGCAGGCTAATTGCTTGTCTGGAATTTGTGGCGCGTCGACTTGACTCTTGCCAAATCCGGAAGAAGAAACCCTAAACCCTAAACCCTAAACCCTAAACCCATAATGGTAGATATAGGGAGCCTCTAAGTTTGGCCAATGGCAAGGGCAATCAGATGGCTACCTCTGTCGGCATCTGGCCATGACCCTGTAAATGGGCTCCTTTAAGTTAAAGGGTTCCTTAATGGTACTGCTGATGATATGAATCCTGCATGACCTTAAGCACCCTAAACTATCGGAATTATGGTAGAGTCCTTGTTATGGGCAACCCTACACCCTACACCCCAAAACCTCAACCCTAAACCCTAAACCCCAAACCCCATTATCCTTACTACGGCTGATGGACAAAATCCTGCTTGACCCTATATACCTAAACTATGGGATTGATGGTACTATACTATGTTTGGGTCATGCAGAATTTTGTCCCATCAAACGTATGGGGAAGGCAGGATTTAGATCATCAGCCGTAGCATCCCTGCCTCCCACAACCAACTCCCCTGGGGCCGCCAAGTCCCTGCACCCAGCCCTAAGCCCTAAGCCCTATTTGGGGCTTAGCATCTAATGTAGAAGCCTAAATAATTACCTATACACTTTCGGGGGGCTCCTTATCATATTTAAAGAACAAACGGCCCCAAAACCATATTCTAATTATTCAGGCCCCTGCATTAAGGCTTCTTCTCTGACCCCACGCGGGAGATCTCCCAAGGCGTAGCCCCAAAATCCCTAAACGATCCCCAGCGCCTCAATGGGCTCTTGGAGGAACTTAGGGTTTAGGTTTTAGGGCTTTTTGGGATTATCGAAGTTCTAGGGATTGTAGGGATTGTAGGGATTATAGGGATTATAGGGCTTAGGGTTTAGGGTTTCTAGGGTTTAGGGTTTACAGGGTGTAGGGTTGAGAGGTTTTAGGGCTCCTGTAAACGGAACTGAGGGTTTCAGTGAGCCTAAGCCCCAAAAACCCCCCAAGGGGATGCCTGCTCACCGGACGCACACACGTGGCTGATGGCGAGGATCTGGTCGGGTTGCATCATCATCTTTAGGATTTTCGTTGGGAGCTAGGATTAGGGGTACCCTTGGGGATATAGACCCTCTCAATAAGGTCCCTTTTAAGAGAGCCAAAAGTAGGGTTCAGAAGGGGTACCCTTTATGGGGTACCCCTAATAATACTACCTATTCTTAAGGGCTCCTTGGTCAGTGCTTCGAGTCTTAGAGCCTTGATCATTCTGTTGATGGACAAAATTCTGCATGCCCCAAATATAGTATAGTACCATAAATCCTATAGTTTGGGTATATAAGGTCATGCAGGATTTTGTCCATCAGTCGGTAGAATAGGGTGTTAAGGTATGTCACAACCAAAAATTCTATGGGGAAGCGTATGGGAATAGTAACACTATTACTATGCACTAATATACTTTCTGCGACCCCTACGTTGCCGCTGTTGTCAATGCTAGTGATTCTACTAAAGATGATGTTTGCTTATGCTTGCTGTTGCCATGGATAATTTTATTGTTATGGCTAGGTACTGTCCTGAAATGCTGTACTTCGCGCGGCTGTTTCTCAAGAACAGTTTCTCAATTCAAGTCTTGCGAGTCTTGGAGATTCTCGATTTAAGGCAGCATGATGCTTGAAAAGCCCCGCCATAAAGTATACGGCAAGAACACAATAGCGCATCGTCGCAGGTCTAACCAACAGGACCGCATGACACTGCCTAGCAATAAAAGCTATAAGGTGGAGCAACATGGTAGGCGCCACTCATGACATAAAAAAGGGGTGTGCATGTCACCGTTGGCCGCAGCACAAACAATAACATGGGCATGTCCTGTTTAAATGTAGAGTAAATTGTGAAGATGGTAAGCTGGGACGGCACAAAGCTCCTTGGTACAGCTCCATATGCTTTCAAATTTCAAGCAGGAAGGCACGGCACAATAGGCAGAAGAAACGCATTAAAGTAACATGGCACAACATCGCCCACGGTGACTCGCAATGTTAACGCAGAACATTACCTCTCACCTTGTAGAACTACATCACAACATGGTCTAACGATGTCGAACACAACCCAACAAGACACAGGGTAGCACAGCGTGTCGTGGCATCACACAAATTTGGACATGTGCTAGGCATATGTCCTGATGACAAACAAGACAAAAAAAATATAGCTATACAAGAACAATGCAGCATGCAGCACAGGTGTCTATAAGAACCTACAGCATGCTGCAACGTAACAAATTCCAAACGACATACTGCAATGAAGTCGGCTTTGGAGTAGATAATGCAAACGGATACGGCATGGTAGGCTGCTGCGAAGATACAGAGACATGACTGCATCACATGTCGTGAAGCACTATTGTCAATATTTCCAGCAAGCAGCAACGCCATGGAGCGATAGATTAACGTAACACTAAACCCTAAACCCTAAACCCTAAACCCTAAACCCTACTTTATCTGCGACTAGCATATATTCATCAGAGTCGAGGCCCTGAACCCACAAGTTTCTAAAGCCTCAAAACGGCCCTATACCCTACACCCTTAAACCCAAACCCTAAACCCTCAACCCTACAGCCCTAAACACCTAAACGCTTGTTCCCGGTTTCGGCCAGGATACTGCGGCAACACGCCGCATGGCCGCTCCACGCTCGAGCGGCAACGTCTGGCAGCGAACTAAAGCTTAACTGAGAAACGGCTGCGAGTGATCCCAAGGTGACATAGCAGCGCAATGCAACAGCAAATCCCCAACCCCAAAATGAAAAAAACTGTATGTTGCAAAGGTTAGGAGGGGGGAAGCACGAGCAAGACCACAGTATGAACTGAGTGGAAAGAAAGCCGTCAAACCGAATTTGGCTCTGCCTCATGCAGGGGGTCGTTCAAAAACCCTCGTTCCATGTTGGGATCCCCACTAAGTCATATGATTCCTTATCAAGCAGGGAGCCGTATGTATTGGCCCTTTACTTTCTGGCGCTCCCATGTGAGGGTTACTGTAGAGTTTTCAGTTTAGAGCTTCAAGCCTTCAAGGCTTTGGGGCATGCATCTAGAGACAGCAGGCACCCAGGAATTCCGCTACTCCTGTCTGAAGTCATGGGTATGCCTACGAGAACAAAGGGAATGTGTACTATATGAATATATACATATATATATATATATACAGATATATATGTCTCCAAGAATATGCTTAGTTAACTGGGGTTGGACTCTCTGCATATCTTCTTTTCGCGCATAGTTCACGAATGTCAGCTTGTCTTTTTGCATCGCTTGTCAACGCAGAAAACTGGTCAAGACGAAAACGGCCCTGGTGCGCGGTGCCTCTCCCGCTACTCCAAATGATCAGCAGCGAGGTGCTAGCTGCTAGTCACAGCCTCATCATATGAAGACCAGGTATGTTAATGCGGAATATCTGACATTCTATAGCGGTTATAGCATGTTCAGTATGAGCTGCAGGGTTACTAACAGTCTCAATGCTTGCCATCATGAGCTGTTCGGGGCTTCGGGGCGGCTGTTTTGATATCCTGACATTGGCCATTTCGGGCTCTTTTGTGTCCATGACTTAGAAGAAGGCACCGACACACCCGGGAAAGGATATGAGCCAGGTTAAAACCTGGACCACCACGGAGAAGGCTGCTAATGGCCGATACCCTTACAGCAGTTTTGACGTGATTCCGCGCTCAACCAACCCCAACCCCCATGCCCAGACTTAAACCATGCATCCCTCATCCCTCCATTCGCTACGTCTTGCGTCATAAGCGGCGTCATTCTCCACAATGCCTTTAATCACTTAGCCGCCTTAGCCTGCACGAGCCCATCATCCCGATGCTGCAAATATCGGACCCTAAACCCAAACCCTCCTAACCCTAACCCTAAACCCTAAACCCTAAATCCTAAACCAATATCGGATCCAAAACGGTCTCTGATGCATCGGCTCGAGGTCAGGCAGCGTGTGGCATCTTCTTAGGTACGGTGCGGTCCGAGTTTAGGGGTGTGCGGCTTAGCATTTAGGGCCTTTCTGTTGTTTCATCGACCCGCTTCTGTCTGCACAATCCGAGCCGGAAGGGTTTAGGGCTTACGGTTTCTGGTTTAGGATTGGCATACCATCGAAGCCTAAATAATTGCCAATATCATGGTTAGGGTTTCTTATTAAAAATATACCATAAAGGAGCCCAAAACCCTATTCTAATTATTAAGTCTAATTATTAAGGCCCCTACATTACACTCAGAACCCTCGTAGGTCTCTGTACTGTGTTGTTTCGCGCCTCTGACGACCCTGCCATCCTCAGCAGCAATCATCTGCGGTGGGGAACATCGGCTTCCCCAGGCACTCCAATATCCCTTAATTAAGGAATATACCTTAAATTGTAGTAGAATCCCTAATATGGTTTAAGGTATATCCCTTAATTAAGGAATATACCTTAAACTATAGTAGAATCCCTAATATGATTTAAGGTATATTCCTTAATTGAGGGATATTGGAGTCTCTGGGAACATCGGCTTCCGACCGAGAACGCAGGCCAAGTGCGGCAGG